CGCAACATCTGGCTGTCTGTGAAGGGTCGAGTGTATGCCGCGACAGTTCGACCACTTCTGCTATACGACACCGAAACTTGGCCATTAAGCAAACAGGATAAAGTAGGCTGTCAGCGTTTGAACACCGCTGTCTACGCGCATTGCACGAATCTGATGGGGCAGCCGGACGAGCAGTGTTGAGGTTAGGCGTAGGGTTTTACGTAATCGTGGTCGCCCAATGGAGCAATTAGTCTACTTCCACAGAGTACGTTGGTTGGGGTATGTGTTACGCATATCAACAACTAGGTTGCCTCTGCGCGCAGTGTTTGCCGAGACCGGTAGTGGATGGAAGAAAGTCAAAGGTGGTCAAGCTAAGACCTGGCACGAGGGTATCAAATTCCTAGCAGGGGACTGGGTCACATAGGTCCCGTTAGGCTCTCTGGCTGGGGACCTCTGGATGATCGTAACCGACGGTTAGAGACACTGAGTGATATGGCTGAGTGTCGTAAACAGTGGCGTTCGTGTATCTTCTCAATTTCTTTACATATTAGCCCAATGAAATTCTCCATTTTCTATTTGGCTCTACTTTCAACTTTCTTGTCTTTCTCCTGCTGTTCATCCCAATGGGCAGCCAAAAGACAGCAACCAAAACCGGCTCACGAAAGTGCATTATTAATTGTTGTACGAGCTGAAACTGATTCATCCTAGAAAACGGTTCCCTTGGGTTGCAACATGCTATTAAACCCACTACGAGAGCTGTCATTGAAATGCACTCCGTAGCTCGCCATGTTGCACACGGTGGGTAAACAACAATCGAGTTCTCGTTCATGGACTGATCATTTATGAAACAGCAGAATAACGCGCTGTTCAAGGCTATTAGAGCTATAAAAAGAAAGAGAAAGACCCAAGCATCGGTATTTTCAAGGGTTCTGCAAAACTTGCGTTGGTGACCGGGAGCTGTTCGTGATTTTATGGTCTACCCGTTTCAGTTCAGTCTAGATAATACCACCTCCCTCACATCGGTATATCTAGAAGAAACTCGACGAAAGATGTGTGGTCAAGGCGCGAGACAGCTCTCATGTGTTTCTTCAAACCAGGTAGCAAGTGCGTCGAAGTTCGATCGATGTGAGTGTGCGGCACTGTTACAAACTGCACCAAACTTACAATTCAGAAAGATCAAATTAGTCCAGCGGATAACTGACAGTCATATTGATGATCAAGTTGCACGAGCTAGAAGTCACATCAACTGGACTTCTCATTGGAACGGTTTAATATTCACTGACAAGAAAAATAGCCTCCTGCTGGCATGACCTGCACGAGAACAAGTTAGCCTTCAGTCCTCGAGGCTACTGTCGTAGTTTGGGGGTGCTATTTTTGCGTATTGACGATCTCAGTTGGCAATTCTCGAAGAAAAATTAGATAGCTGAATTTGACGTCACAATCTTCTTTTTGCGGTTTCAAAAAATCGGTTGAGAACCATAAATTTCTAACAGAATAATGCTTCTATACACAGAGCCCACCTCACTAGAATATAGTTACGATACCGGAACATCAAGAATATGGACTGACCAACCCATAGCCTGCATTTCAATTCTGGTGAAATTTTCGGGATCTGCGGACAAGTTGGGTTTACGCGTATGGAAAGGTATTCCGCACTGTCCCCACGAATTACCAACAGCCATCCTTCAACATTCGAACAGTTTCAAAACTCAAACAATCAGGAATCTCCCTGATCTTGAGGCACCATTTATGAATAATTAAAGCCTAAGTGTTTCCCAACAATGGATCTTTTCATTTTCCTAGGATGGGGATAATGGTCTTCTCCGTTCTGTGAAGGGATGGGTGGGTGGACACATTGTCCAGGATAAATCAGTTTACCGAAGTCCATCAGAGTCCACACGGTATCAGATCAAAATTTGGAACGGATATCTTTGAACAAATTGTGTGTCCTGCTCATAGTATTAGATCCATATAGGAATGTTTGGATTGGCCACAACGAGAGAAAACCAAAAAAAAAACAATTTTTTGGTTGACGACTTTTCGACCCTCTTGGAAGGCCCCTTTTAGGTCAATTAACGAGCGAACATTAGACAAAAACCGTAAGAGAAACCGTATCAAAATCCGTTTGGTTCCTCTCCACGGTAATGAGTTGCATCAGTTTGACAACAGATTAGGTCCATCTAGGTGGTTTGGTTTGCGAGAACGAGAAAACAGAGTGGGTAATATAGCGTTCCGTACAAATCCGTTCAACTACCGCCTACCAGTTCCCTTTACTTTATCACTGCTTGTATTTGCGCCGTACTTCTCAGTGCACTATAAGTAGTTGTTATTGTTTATTTCTGAATGTAAACGAAATGGCATAACCCATATTTATGAGCTTGTTGCGGGCATCGGTCCTTGCTCATCTCTTCACGGGCCCCCAGTTTTGCGACTCGGTTGAAGACTTTCACAACCAGACTATTTGTTGTATGGTAGTAGTGGAGAATTTTGTTTCTTTCTATGAGGAATTCATCGTGTAAACGAGGCATGGTGAGATGCGCGAGCATCGATTCCGCAACAACCTCGCGAAGATGAGTTGTACTATATCGGGTAAATGGAAAACGGTTTGATCAGTTGTCCGATGGCCGAGTGGGTAGCATGCTTACACTCTGCCTGTGAAGTCCCTTGTTAGATCCCCAGTTAAGTTGATGGACTGATGAGACCCAACTAGGTCGAAACAGCTGTACAATACTCCCTAGCTTTTCAGCTCAGGCCTCATTTACATCACCAGATCATAATGTAAAAAAATCAAATCCCCCATTACTCTCATTGTTTATTTTCACTAGTATCATTTGTCAATACATACCACATGATAACCCAGTTTGTCGAACAACATTCAGCGCATACATTTTGTATGCTTATTGCTTGATAATACTTTTGATAGCTGTTCTGAGGCCAATAAATTTCTTTCTTTGGATCCCATGTGTTTTTCTCATTAATCATTGCCATTTCTTTTCTCATGGCGTGATCCATGGTTAACTCGTGGAGACAAAGGTATCTCGTATACTNTCGTATACTGATCGAACCCAGGAAACAAGAAGAGGACTCGTTATTGACTCCATGCTACCCCAGGTGCAAAGATTTCGAGCTCTAATGGTTGAGACGGTGTAATGGGAACAGTGGGCTTGTGCAATAACATAAGATGCGATTGTCTAGACACCTCGCACTACGAGTTCCGTAGATCGACCCGCGATCTTTGTCAACTTTTATGTAACCAAAGTGGTGTTGCAGGTTTCTACCCGAATAGCCTGCTTTGACTCGAACCTGTCCGACATCTTCTCTACATATGTACCTTGTTGTTTTACCGTCTAGTTGGTCACGGCACGTCGATG